AATAAATAAATCTTTAAAAAATAAATAAATAAATAAATAAATGTAAGGAATGTGGGAAGGCCTTTACCACCTTTTCGTACCTTGTTCGACATCAGAGAATTCACACTGTTGAGAAACTCTATGAATGTAAAGAATGTGGGAAGGCTTTTATTAGAGGCTCAGGCTTTGTTAAACATGGGAGAATTCATACTGGTGAGAAACCATATGAACGTAAGGAATGTGGGAAGACCTTTAGTAATAGCCATCAATTTACTATACATCAGAGTATTCATACTGTTAAGAAACCCTATGAATGTGGGGAATGTGGAAAAGCTTTTTATAGTAGCTCATACCTTGTTCAACATCAAAAAATCCATAAAGGTGAGAAACCCTATGAATGTAAGGAATGCGGGAAAGCTTTTATAGTGTATGGAAAACTTCTTCGGCATCAGAATATTCATACTGGTGAAAAACCTTTTGTATGTAAAGAATGTGGGAAGGCCTTCAGTACCTTCTCATACCTTGTTCAACCTCAGTGAATTCACACTGGTGAAAAACCCTATGAATGTAAAGAATGTGGAAAGGCCTTCAGTAGTAGCTCACCCCTGGTTAAACATCAGAGAATTCATACTGGTGAGAAACCCTATGAGTGTAAGGAATGTGGGAAGGCCTTTACTGTGTATGGACAACTTACTTGACATCAGAGTATTCATACTGGTGAGAAACCGTTCAAATGTAAGGAATGTGGGAAGGCCTTTAGACTTAGTTCATTTCTTAATGCACATCAGAGAATTCATGCAGGGGTAAAGCCCTACGAATGCAAGGAATGGGGAAGGCCTTTAGTCATGCCTCATACCTTGTTCACCATGAAAGACTTCATATAGATGAGAAACCGTATGAGTGTAAAGAGTGTGGCAAGGCCTTTAGTTCTGGCTCATACCTTGTTCAACACCAGAGGATTCATACCGGTGAGAAACCCTATGAGTATAAGGAGTGTGGGAAGGCCTTTAGTTCTGGCTCTTCCCTAGTTCAACATCAGAGGATTCGTACTGGTGAGAAACCTTATGAATGTAAGGAATGTGGAAAGGCCTTTACTGTGTATGGACAACTTATTGGACATCAGAGTGTTCATACTGGTGAGAAACCCTTTGAATGTAAGGAATGTGGCAAGGCCTTTAGACATTAATTCATTCCTTAGTGAACATCAGAGGATACACACCGGTGAGAAACCCTTTAAATGTAGAAAATGTGGGAAGGCCTTTAGATATAGTTCAGCCCTTAAAGTACATCAGAGAAACCATATGTGTGTAAAACCCTAAAAATTTAAGGAATTTGGGAAGTCCATTATGTATGGCTTAAACATTGTGCAGCATCAGAGAATTTATGCTAATGAGAAACATGGATGTTAAAAATCTTGGTAGGCCTTTAGAAAATATTCTATTAGAGAATTCATAATGGAATTCAGAAAACATAAAGCCTTTATTTGTCATTCTTGTGTTTATAATATTTGAATCCGAATATTCTGGATTGGTGGCCAATTCAGAAAAGGTGGGAGACATTAATACAGCATTGATAGCATGAAAGTTTATATGACATATTCTAATATGGTTGAATGAACTAGTGAATAAAAAAACCTTCCAGTACTCTTAAATCATTGCTAAACTTCAGATAATCCATCCTGATTTTTAAAAAACAGTTTATACTGGAAAGCCTACCATAGCACAGATGTCAATTCTTGTCATTGTCATGCCACCACTGTCAAGCTGTTTGACATTAGGCACCTTACTTTTTATTTCAGGGCATTGCTTTAAAATGGTGGTGATAGAACCTACATACTTGTAAAAACCTATGCTCAATATTTATTAATTTTATTATTAGCATTTTTAAAATTTTTTAAAAGATTTTATTATTTATTTGACAGAGAGAGACACAGCGAGAGAGGGAACACAAGCAGGGGGAGTGGGAGAGGGAGAAGC